ATTGATAACAAGTCTGTAAAATATTTAAATCAAACTTGTTTTACAGGTTATAAAGAAGATGTGTCTAAATTATCAGGCAATTTTGACAATTTTTCATTATTCTATGCGCTATATCAAAAATTCCGAATATTTATGACGACCACTGTACCTATGTGACAGATATTTGATATAAATCGCGTTTACATTCTGAATTTTCGAAAATTAGCCACGGCGAAAAAATGTCAACATCATGTGATTTTAAGAGGTAAACCAATCAGATCGCAAGATATGAAATATTAAATATTACGGTTAGAATTAGGTTTAGGATAGGGTCGTAGTTAAAGATTATACCGTGCGTAATATCTTATTTATAGTAAATTTTCGCAAGGGACATTTTTTGTTAGAACACTGAAAGGTAAAATTTCGAGATATGAGCTATTTTTTCACTTTTTTACGTTTGTTTTGATTGGTTTACCCCTTAAAATTCACGTGATGCTAACATTTTTTTTCGCCATGGCTAATATTATAGAAGACATTTATAATGAATGTGTCTTTTAAATCCTTGTAAAATCTGTAAAATATATTTACCGCATTCTCTCAGAAATAAGCATCACCTGAAGCACACTCCCAAATTTAGACCAAAATTATGAATAAGCACACCTAAGATTAATTAAAAATTACAATAACGATAAGTTTTCTTGAGCCAGGGGGAGGTAATCTTTCTTATATTGACTGTTAGGTTTTTCGTATACATGTAATTTGATCGACAAACTAAGTGTTTTACTTAGCATTGTTTTTCATTTCGTATACTAACCATTTTTTTTCCTAGTAACTTTTTGCAGCGAACAAATTAGTGTAAAATATACAAAAGGAAATTACAGTCCAAGTTATCTAATTAGATGTTTTTAATTTTTGTATTAAAACTTCGCTTTTGTTTTAGCGATACATATGGCTAAGTTAAAAATAAAAATATTTTTGTTTTAAATTGGCTTTTTTTAACAAAATATAAAACTGTAACTTCAAAAAAAATCCTTTTTTTTCATCTTTTATATCAAATTTTATTGCACTAGTTTTAATGCAGAATCTCTTTTAAACTCGAATACTGCCTAAACCTTCAAAACGTAAATTACAACTAAAAAATGCATGCGAATAACTTGCGCTTTTTGACGCAAGTTGAAACAACGTCAAGTTATTTTAATAAATAACTAGTCATCTAAAAAACATACCAACCAATGAACTTCAAAAATACAGACACTGTCTGTACTTAAATATATTGACGTAATGGTAAATATATTGATGATGGATGAAGTCAAGTAGAGATTCAAGTAAACTGGCTAGAAATAAGCGTCACCACCTATTTTGAGTCCAAAAAAACAGCAGTCGAGTGGTGCTTATTTTCGGAAGAATACGGTATTCCAATTTTTACGAATGTTTCATATTTTATTGCGTGTTATAAAATAATAATTAATCAAAGGAACTAAATAAAATACATGAGAGAAATACAGTACATAAAAATAAAAATAATCAAGCTAAATCAAACAATACAAATTCCCCATTCGTATCACCAACATTTTCGAATAAAATTTCTTCACCAGGTAAAGCATCCGTCAAGAAAGCTCCATCACCTTGCTTCAACAGTTCTTTTCCCAAAACTTTAATTTGACCACCAACATTAGTTAAATGCACATATAATCTTCTACCCGTGTTTCCTTCTCCCTGAACTACATGCTTTACGCTATGATCTGGTTCTAAAATACTAGCATACATATTGAAGTCGGTGTGTATACCAATAGTTGAACTATTATTGTTTGACGCTGGTGCAATTATATGTACAAGTGAATTCGTTTTCTCGTTATCGGTAAGCGATTTTGTGTGATATTCTGGTGTGAGACGAGCAGTGTCGGGTTTTACCCAGATTTGAAGAAAATGCACTGGTAATGAGGGATGTACATTGTATTCCGAATGAGAAATCCCAGTTCCAGCTGTCGTGAATTGAACATCACCGCGTTTGAGAATTTCTACATTTCCTATTGCTAGAATAATCAATTATGCGTTAAAACAAAAAATTCCTGTTAAATTCCATCAAAAAGAAATTTAAATAACATCTTACAATCACGATGCTCTAGCTCTCCCGAGATAATATACGAGAATATTTCGAATTCGCGATGAGAATGAGTCCCGAATCCTGATTGCGGTTCGACTTTATCTTCGTTAATAACACGTAACGATCCGAGACCTTGGAATTGCGAATCATAATAACTAGCGAACGAGAAAGTATGATGAGTATCTAACCAGCCGTGGTTTGCATAACCACGATCTTCTGAACGGCGTGCAACGATTTTTACAGGCATTTTCGAGAGATTTTGAAACTGGAACTATATATATTTTTTATTTTAATATGACTATTTATTCTAAAACCAAGAAATTGTTTTATAATGAGATAATTTCAAAGTTCGTTTTTTGATGCTTTCTATTTATACAAGTTTTCCATTGTTACTTGTACCTGTGTTTGGTGATCTCGAAGATTATTAATCGTCGGAATTTTCTACGGTATATGTGTAATAATCAATTGCCGGGCTTGTGTTGCTTAGAAATTATACATTAGTAAAATGAATAATGTGATGTCATTCAAAATCCGATTGGTTGATTAATATCGACTATTACCAATAAATTACCAAAGATTATGTCCGCTTAGAAATTATTCAAGCTCGGTTTTGTTAAAAGCATAGAATTTTGATTTGAATGATGTAGCATGTTACTATTTATTTTTTTTTGAATTTTTTTTTACTGTCAAAACTTTTGATGTAAAAACCGTTGTTATTAAGGTGGGGTGATTGATCTTTAGCAGTTTAACTCGCATAGCCGTCTGGAAAGAGAACGTTTGTCTTTTTGCGTAGTCATTTCAAGAAAAAATTACGAGAGCTGCACTGGCATTATGCAATGTCGAATGGTTTATTTTAAAGAGGCAGACAGCATATCATTAGGCATTCCTATAGAATTCAAGTCTAACATACGCAGTATATAAAATCAAAGTTTACGTTTACATAAATATTAAAAGCTTTATTTATCTTTTCCACTTGATTGAACTGGGGTTAATAACAAAATTACAGGTAATCTTATATTTTAACATAATATAAGCAGGGTTTGCCCCTTGGACCAGTCCAAAATCTTTGTCCAAATATCTACATAATTAAATTACTAATAATTTTTTCAAAAAAAAAAAAAAAAAAAAAAACTGGACAAGTTGTCCAAACTGTCCAAGGGCCAACCGTGATAATATAAGATAATATATGGTAATATAAATAGTATTATAATAATATTACATGTAAATAATATATAAATAATATTCTGCATGCACAATTACTATTGTCATCACTCAATCACCCACTATACGATCTGGATACTTTTAAGACAGTCAAACAAGAGAAAAAGAAACAACTGATTTTTATTTTTATTTTGGAGAAGAAACTGGTTTTTTGTGTTTTATTTTATGGGAGAGAGGACAGAAATATTTATATACATATAACAAATAGAGAGAGGAAGAGAGAAACAGAATATCGAATGATAAGAAAAGGAAATCAATGCGGGGAAATGTGGGGAATAATAACGAACAAAACTTGTTTCGATTCCTGTTTTGATTGTTATTATAATGATTAATGAGTTTACAATAACTATTTTATAATTACTTAGACATAAATTAATTAATATAATTTGGCAGACGCGATTTTTTTGACGCGCAATGGCTTTTTTTAATAATTACGCGTTAAAAATATGTTTGCATAATCAATCTCTTGTGTGATAAGAGGGCAAAAGGCGCGCAGATATTCATTCATTCCATATCATCGCTCTCATTGCGTCTTGCTATCCGCCATGCTGTTTACTTGGTTTGTTCCAACTATTTCTTAATATTGTTAGAATTTTAAAAATAACATGATGCTTGATGATTATGAAAGAGGGCGAAAAGAGAGCAATAGAAAAAAAATAATATTCGAGACCTAAGTCACCGGGCCAGTTGTCGTTATTACACAATTGAAAGAAAAGAATTACAAGATTAACTAATTTTTATGCTGTAAAATGGGGATGATACTGTACTATGTATGTAGGGTATGAATATTTATATATCATCTGCACGGAATCAGATTGTCAAGTATCCGGCGCGAAAATGTAGAAATTTCCTATCACATCCTTCCATCTCTTTACTTGATATCTGCAATGGATCAATTATTTGTGATTCCTTTTTACCTATTTGCGCTTACATTTACCCTCCCTCTCTACATTTGTCAATCAATCATACGTGTATCTGCCTACTTTGCCTTTCTCATTTTTTTCTTTCTCTTCTCCCTGTCTAAACAAAACAGCCTATTTAAAAATTTCGCCATTGGATAAACCTTAATATGCATAAAGCACAACAGTTTTCCTTGCATAATCATTCACAAATATTCTTTCCATCATCACCAACATCGTTCGTTAGCATCAACCATTTTGTGTGCGAGTGAAATGCAATCAGCTATACGTACTTGATACATGCATACATAGACTTTAACGAAACAGATGAAAGATTTTCGTTGTTAGAAAGAAAGAAAGAAAGAGAGTGAACAACCAAATTATCAACGATGAGAAGAAAAAAATATTATTTTTTTTTTCCTTCTTTCTATATCACCGATATTTTCCCTTCCCCCTGAGCTCAATACTTATTATCAAAAAATTATTTTTCGCGTCTTTAAACACATCTCTTACATTATTCAAATATAAAACAATACCAAATAAAAATTATTAAACAAAAAAAAATAACGATAATGTTTGATCATAATATATTATTAATAGTATTATTATTCTATCTTTTAGGCGTGCTTTTGCATTACCGCGTCTCCTGACGTAGTGGAAGCAATAAAGAGACAGAGACAGTAAGTATTAAAGTGACACACATGTGAAATCCGGTTAGTCGTGTGAATTGCATTCAGGGAAAAAGGTGAATGAAAAAAGGCCATCTATCCACTAAATAGACGATGATGAGAAACAGAATGAACGCGGCAGATAGATAAAATATTATTCTTACTTTAAATCCGACTCAAAGTTATGTGTATTGTTTTCTGTGTATCTTACTGCGCCATCTTTTTTTGTCCCGCAAAAAACATTTTTAAACCCACGATTTTCTTCTCTTTCTCGTCTTTTTTTTTAATCATCTCTATTTCATAATTATTTTTTATTCATAAACTATTACTATATATTAAAAAAATGACAAATAATAATAATAATATTACATCGACAACAAATCCTGAAACCCAAGGTCTATTAAATAAGCTTGCCAAATCTTTCTTAGAAACAATAGACCGTGGCAATAGTTGGGAAAAAATAGACCAAGAAATAAATGAATATTTAAAATTAAATAAAATACACCCCAGAACTTTACTAGATTTATTAAGTAGCCAATCGTATAAACGCCAGTTTAAAGTATTATTGGGTTACTGTTTTGAACGAGAAATTGGCTATGCCGATAAACAAGCGGCTCTCGCTTCATATAAAATTGCATCCTCTAATAATTATTCATACGGACATTTATTTCTCGCTCGGTGTTATGAAAACGGAATAGGCACGATGAGCGACCGCGAACAAGCCTTTCGTCTATACGAGAAATCAGCTATCGCCGGCAATCCAGCCGGACAATTCTTTCTTGCACGTTGTTACGACGCCGGTGTTGGCACGACCAGAGATGTAACGAAGGCATTCGAATGGTACAGGAAGTCGGCCGAATCCGGAAATTATTGTGCTCAAAATAACCTTGGATACTGTTATTGGAGCGGAGAAGGAACGACAAAAGATGCCGTTCAAGCACTCCACTGGTATGAAAAATCGGCGGGAGGTTCTAATTCAGCGGGACTATATAATCTGGGTAGATGTTATGAAAATGGAATCGGTACCATGAGAGATGATCTCAAAGCATTCGAATGTTACCAAAAAGCCGCGGAAGGAGATGATGTTAATGCTCAATATCGTCTCGGAAGATGCTACGAAAGGGGAATCGGCACTTCACGAAATGATGCCAAAGCATTTTTCTGGTATCAAAAATCCGCAAAAGGAGGCGACCCAGCTGGGCAATGTTTTCTTGGATATTGTTATTTACATTCAATTGGCACAACAAAAAACTATCAAAAAGCGTTCGAATGGTGTCAAAAGTCTGCTTTGGCTGGTGATGCAGCAGGAATGGTCGCCATTGGTTTCTGTTACGAGAATGGAATTGGTATCGCCAAAGATTGGAAGAAAGCATTTCAGTGGTATCTAAAATCGGCAGAAGCTGGTGATGTAACTGGCCAATACAATTGCGGAAATTGTTATAAATACGGATGGGGAACTAAAACCAATTGTCAAGAAGCAATTAAGTGGTTCCAAAAAGCGGCAGACAATGGGGATTTAGATGCACAGAATGAACTTGAAGAACTTTATCAAATTGTCATGGCTCATCTAAATGTAATTATCGTTTTATTTATCTTGAAATTTCTCTAACTACTAAATACGTATTCATTCTTATGCCCTATTTCTTTTTTTTTATTGGTATATAGCAGGAACTTGGTGTCTCGCCAATGTCAACATCCTCTGAAGACGATTCACCAAAAATTATATCACGTACACCCCGTCGAAGAAAACACAAAAAGAAAGTGAGCACACGATGCTAGAGATTATCTTTTGAACATTTCATAATACATTTCATTGTAATTATAAACGCAATTTTGTGATTAGAACGCGTCGTTTTTTTATTTGCGATTTCGTTCATGTATATAATTTGGAAATATAGACGTGCAAAAATAGATTTTAGAATATTTGATGTTTTATAGAATATCCCCGGTATTTTTTTCATTATTTTATACATATACTAAATATATTTCATTCAATAACAAAGAAAATTCACACTTGTATGTGTGTGTAGCATATAACCACTTTTTTCGATTACACAAGTATTACTACTACTACTTTAGTTCTTACTACACATTCTCCTTAAAAAAATTTCGCAAATTTAACGTTTAAAAACTGACAGCTTCCCAAAAAAATATATTATTAAATGTTTATAGCAAACATTAAAGTAGGCCAACAGTTAAAGATAATATCGGCGAACCGAAATATAATATTTTGAAACGTCAAAAAAAAAGGTTTACACAAAAAACTGTTTTTCCATCTTTCCATTGTCTCCAAACTTGAAAATGATTCGTCATAATTCAGGCGATAAACTGGCTGCGAACGCGCGTACAACTCACCGGAATTAGGAGAAAATCCGGCAAGCAAATTATTTATTGACGATAATGGATTTTTATTTCGTCAACAATATAACGCGCGTACAAGATTCAGGTTTCGCCTAAACCTATGCATGCGCCCCCTATAAAAGTTTATTTGTGTTTTAGTCTTCTGCAGGAGACCGTACTTTTTTTTTATGTATTATGTATTTAGGTGATCCTTCCGAATGGCGACAATTGGTTCTTTCTTTTGTATGAATAAAAAATGTCACTTTTATAAAATATAACGATAACGCTATCATTATACAAGTTTAAGTTAGTGCGTACCTCAATATCGATATGCATTGCATCGATTTGCCAGAAAGCCACTAAAAAATTGCCGTGCATGAATTTGCATAACAATAACAGGATAGAATAGCAACAAGATAAAGAATGGAAAAGAAAAAGCAATTGCGACGACGATTTCATTCACCCACACTTTCTATATCTCTTTGCTGCCTTTTATGGAGGTTTTTTAGGTTCCAGGACCTTATGATTGTGCATTTAGGGTTTACAAAAAGAAAAATAGAGTGTGTGGGTTCACAAATAGGTATAGACAAAGATAATGGTTGATTGGTGGTTTTTAATCTGCACAAAAAATACCCAAATACTTTGATTTTATTTTAGTCACACAGAAATGAAATATTAATTGGTAACCTTTGTGTTATAAATATGGTATAGCGTTTAGATTTTCATTTTTTACCTATTGTCATTTTAGAGATGTTGAAACCGCGACCCAAAAAATGGAGCCACGTGAAATTAGTCGATCAGGCGATTTGAGATCAATGCTACGCTGCATGCGTTAAAAAAACCAGATTTTAAGTAGGGCTGTGTGTATGATAACCACTTAAAACTCGCAGCTAGTGGCTTTTGTGTGAATATGGGAAAAAGTCATTTTATTCAATAAAATATAAAACAACGCAAAATTTCTCTCTTGTCAATTGGATAATTATGGATCAAAATCATGATAGTATGAATGAAGTGAAATCAAAAGAATATCCAAAGAGTTCAATCAACTCGCTTGTACCACCATATTTTCAAAAATATGGTAAGATAATCTCTTCTGCTATACAAATAAATATGACAAAACAAGAACTGATCCTAATAAAATTAATTCAGAACAAGAATATACAACGATTCCTTTAACAGATGATTATGATGGTGAAGTTAATCTTGATGAATCAGACATCAATGATAAGAGTGTTATAAAAGTCATATTAATAAACATTTTTATCGAAATCTAATTGTGAAAACAGAATCTGGATTCGCCAACAATTCCTCAGGATTTTGTGATTCAGCGCCATCTGTGCAACTGGGAGGTAACAAAAAAATCTATTCGTCATATTAATCATAAATAGCCATAACAATAATTAATCTGACCGATATCTCGATAATAATAGGAAAAAAAAGATGTTGCTTGAAGTTATTGTTATTAATTATCTCGATTATTTTATTGATTTCTCTATTCGAAAAGGTTGGTATATTTTTTCATGATACAATCATTGATTAATAAGTTCCTCCCATGAGATTTTAATCTTCGTTGGAATGCACAGCATTCATTACATAATAGGGATCGACATTTTAATTCGAAACCTAAATTTCCATGGAAAGGATCAACGAACTTCACGTTCGATCCAGACCTATTCAAAAATTTTCAACTTGATATCAATGGATATCTTACGGTAGGAAATTCACTCATATTTAACTCTAAATTAATTCGCTTCGAACTAAAAGATATTGCTTTAAGGATGGACACGTAATAATATCACGCTCATCCAAAGCGAAAAATGTGACAATTGACACCAAAATACTATTAAGCAGTCCTCACCTTCAAGATTTTGTCAACGTAGCTACATACGAAGATCTTGCCACCGAGAAATTCAGCCTCATAATTAATTCTCTATCGTATGAAGGAATGAGGCAAGCTTGTATTTTTGTGCAAGTGGAAATCAAGTTTCCGAAATCATTAAAAAATTTCGGTGATTTGAGTTTCAATACATTAAATACAAAAATTGCTACCGAAGATATGGAAGGTTTGATATTTGAGAAGGTTAAGTGGACAATTCTTGATTCTTATATTCAAACGGATAATCTTCAAGCACGTCAGATCAACATTTATTCAAACCGCCAAATTAGTGGATCATATTCAGTTTCAGATTCGCTCACTTTTCAAACGTCAAACGCGAAAATTGATACTATTGTTGATCAGTTATTACTCAGCAATAAAATCAATTCTCCAATAAAATCGATTAAACTCGAAACAACTAATTCTGCGATTATTGGGATTTACCCGTATTCCGAGTCGTTTGAGGCACACACAACAAATGGTGAAATTTTCCTTGACATTATTGAACCAGATGGGAAAGTTGCTCTATCTAAAAATCATGAGATTCCAAACATTTCATTGGATACTACAAATGGAAGGATTGGCGGATCTTATTATGTGGATGGTGAATGGCATGCAACCACTTCGAACGAGAATATAGAGGTTAATATTGATTTATCAAAAGACGATGATGCTAGTAATGATGAGAAAAAAATCACTGGTCAGACTACAAATGGAAATATAGATATGGAAGTGGTATGTAAAAGTCATGCTTTTAATCTTTTTACACATTCATTTATATTTTTTTACCATGTTTCAGTCGGACGCATATCAAGGTCGTTTCCACTTGGCCACCACAAATGGCAATACAGAAATCAAGGAAGGTCATGATATCCATTACACAATCGACAGAAGACAATTGAAAACCGGATATAAAGGAAACGATGACGCGTCGAATCGTAATAACGAGTTGGTGTTGTTTAATACGAATGGAATGATTACCCTTAGCTTCTTTTAATTATTTACTGATTAAATGAGTTGACGAAGATTAACATTTTTGATTTTGTAAATATTTCTTATGAATAAATAAACTTGTAAAATTTATTCTTTCGTATAATTGAAGAGATTTACGTTCCTTTAAAATTATCTCTTGCAAGCGTAAATCTAATCTAGGTAAATTAATGAAAAGAGTGAATCAAATAGACTGGGGTTCGAGAAATAATTCAATCTGTATGGAATCTAATTACCTCGGGGAAATTAGTCGTCAAGAAAATTATGTTATTTTTAATATACGTATCAAAGTTGATCGTGATCATTAGCTGACACATTAACAATAAATAATGTAATCATCGATCATATACTGAATATCATATTTATTTTTTTCCTTGATTACTTTTATTCTCGAAAGAATTTTATGTCGCCGATCAACGTGATGTTCATCTATGCATGATGGAATGTGATTTTGAATGATGAAAATATGTTCAATAAAGATTTTTGTTGATGATTATGATAATTGAAAAAATTAAAAAAATTATTATTGTACAACATTTAAAGGGAAGGAAAAGGAATTATGACTATATGCTTTACAATTTCTTTCTAATAAGAAAAAGAAAATAATTTAATTGAGAATATCAATAACACCAATTGTTTCTTGAAATTTCATTGATACAACATGATTCAAATATTAAAATTAAATAGAAAAAAAGTTAAGTACAAATTTTGATTTTCGTTAGTGATCACTGTCACGTGCTCCATCAAAACCCTCGATAAAATGCGATTGTGTATTATTATTCCGTGGGATTTGAGATTCTTGGTCGTCATCATCATTAAAATCACCACTTTCAGATGCATGACGGCGCATACTAGAATTCCGTCGTGGTACATTTGAGCCACTGCTCGACATGCTATATTTTCTTTTTCCCCTTGGACTTGATGGATTTGTCGTTGTGTTTTGCTCATGTGGTTCTGAATAAAAATCACTACTACTCGATGAATGTGATAATTCCGATACGATACTAATCCGTGGATCTTGAGAATTTTGGCTAACGATTTCAGGACTTGCAACACATACAAGAGGAAACGCTCCTTCTTTTCCAGTATTACGATTAATTCCCACTGCCCATCCATCATCAAACAATCTTTTAACTATGATCATTTCATTAATCACCAATTCCAATTCATCCGGAAGGACAGGCATATATGGATGAACTACCAGCACAAGATCTCCCTCACCATCATCAGGATTTAAGGTTGGCGTTTCTGGTATTGGCATGATAACCGGTGGAGGAGGAGTAACAGCAACATTATTGACTGGATACAATTGTGGCTGCGATTGTGGCTGCAATTGTGTTTGTGGTCGCAATTGTTGTGTCAGTCGTGGTGTATTACCTGTTGCATTATCAATTGCTTGCATTTCGACACTTTCATGTGAACCACCTGAAGACACGTTATTTGCCGGAATATTTCTTGTGGGATCCGCAACTAATGGGGTCGATAAGTCAGTTGTACTTCCAGATTTTTCTTGAATTCCATTAGACGATAAATTCCCACCTTTTCTACGGGATCGGCATAGGCAAAAGAATAACGCAAACAACGTCGCAGCTATTGCAACTGATCCCAAGGCTATACCTACTATTCCTCCCGTACTTATTGAAGGATCAGAAGTGGAATCTAGAGAGGTGTCGTTAAGCGGAGATTGCGTTGGACTCTCCATCGTGGTACTTGCATGTGTCCCATCTGGATAATTACATTGAGTAAGATCAGCTTTTTTACAACATAAATCAGAACTTGTTGAGGATGATTTTTGGCAATATTGGCAAAGGGAATAAGTATCCTGTTGAAATCCTATTAGATAGGATACATAAAAACATCAGAAGTGAGTTAATTAAATTTAATATGCATATTTATATTTGATCAAAATTTATTTTCGCCGGTTATCCTTCCACGTCCGCCGCCTACTCAATAAGTGAATAATTTACTTACCACAATCCGAAGGCTCATTAGCTGAGCCTGAGATGCATGTGCTAGTATCATTACTCGTCTCTGATGATCCGCAAGCTATGTTCGAATTAATGCTATTTATGTTATTCTCATTTCCACACAATGTCTGATTTTTGACAAATGATTGCACTGAATTGTAATAACTTTGACAAGTATCTTGACACAAAAGTGGTGGCTTCGTTGGATTACCATCATCATTAATTGTCATTGGACTGTTTTGATTATTTAATCCTGTGCAAGCTAATGATATTGGCGCTTGAACCATTGCAGCGCATACTAATGTTGTTGTATACTGTAAATGAACTTTGCTGGAATTAAGATTCGGACATATCGAAGTAAAATGGTCGTCCACGTATCTAATGTTCACATAATTTATTAATCCTTCATCGAATTGACTTATATTTCCAATTGTGTATAAAAAATTCCAGGTTGAGGATATTGAACTTGATATAGAATAGTTTCCAAATGCTTGACATGCTTGACTTCCCTTTAATGAAAAACATGGAGGCATGCGCATATTGTCATTGCTGGTGTTATTTGATTCCCCTGATGTTATTGGAGAATCTGCCGCTGTTATCCGGACAATGTAAAATATTATAAAAAGAGCCGTTAACGCAAGCCAATCTAAGTTTGGACTTGCTGTTTTTTGGTTATATGGAACCATTCGATTATTCGATTGGCTTGAAAACACTATGTATAACTTTGGCTGAGAATCCCGACTAATGTGAAAAATCTTTGTCGAAATAAATTCAAATTGCGTATAATTATGATAATAGTTCTTTCGATTGCTTTGTCGTTAATCGTTGATTGACAAGGGATCAAGCGAAATGAAAACGCATACACGCACTATTGCAATTAGCTACTAGCTAGTTGATTGGTATGAATTTATTTTTCGGAAGAGGCAATATGACTAAAAAGTCTGTCAAATGGCGCGGTTAGTTTGTGAGAATTACCGTAAGCAAAAAGAGAAGAGCAAGGAAATTTCTTTTTCACATTCGGAACAGTGGCGCGAACTTTATGACATAATTATGTATGTTCCTTATGGACATTTTTATCTCACCTTCCCTTTTTGAAAAGAAAAAACCTACCTAGCGTGTTTTTTTATTTCGGTTTTTTTTTGCAGGGTTAATTTTTGATATATATTTACAAAAAGAATTTATAAACTTTTACTAATAACAGAGAATAAATTAAGAAATTAAAACGATTACAAACACGAGACGTGCGAAAACAACTATGTGTATTAACTATTCCTGTTATTTACCCAACCCAACAAATTATTGATTATGCAAAAGAAAATTAATTCCCATCAATAAATATATTCGAATATCATCATACATAATAATTCGACTACTTTTTAGCATTTATTCGCATGAGAGTAACACCAGATGCACAGCCTATATATAAAAAACCGAGCCACTCACTTCGCTTCAACCACAAACTCAAAAAACAACTAATAGAAGCCTAGCGTGAATATTTTGTCCAATATCGTGACTTCTAAGCATCCTGGATCAAGCCCCCAATCTTGCTTTGTTGGCTCAGCCTATATTTTCACTTCATAAAAATGGGTCTGTTCGCGCGGAGAATCTTTTTGAATATTATATTATATGCATATGCGCAAAGAAACACGCATGCTGAAAGAATGTTATTGATACAAATCATTCTATATCGGGTCTAGATCAATTGTCAGGTAACAAAAAATACTCTTATTTATTAACCTTGCAGAAATGTTAAGCATCATGATCATTATAAAATCGTTTGATTTCAAAATTTTAAAATGTAAAAATAATCTCGTAAATAAATGACGATAACGTAATTTTTGATATGTACACGTGATTGGTGCTTATATCATTGATTGTAAGATTTTTGAAATTTTTGATTTTCTTCAAACAAAGGCTGATTGACCGACCTACCAATAACTATTTTTACAAAAAATACCGATTTGACTAAAAGTGCACGAGTTATTGCGAATTGGCGTATTATTGCGAACTGCCGTATTGTTTTTATTTATTAATTTGGTGCTTCCATGTGAGCGAAGGCAACTCATGATCATGAGAATACAGACACAATCAAATCTTTTTAAATTATATGAAAAATTCTCGATATTTTTGTACTTTATTAGTATCAAACTAAATTTTGCTTTAAATATGACCCGGGCACCGGGATATAGCTTGAAATTACCATTCATGAATTAATAATTAACAGGTAAAGCTCATTTTTTATCCTCTTTCTCCTCCTCTGGGAGAAGATATTAGAGAGCCCCAAGAAACTCATGTATACAAAGAATTAGTTGTTGATGAGTTGATCAACTTACAAGAAAGGTTAATCAGATCATTGAAGACGGAAAAACACCACGCGTTGATGATTATGAATAAACCATCCTCACTATCCTTATTATATAATCTTTAAATACTGTAAATACCGACCAGCGTATACCGTTTTCAAACATCAAAAGATCGAAAAAAAGAAAAAATATTTACTGGATTATTTATCCGTCAGCTAATTAGTTAGTTACCCAGACTGGAGTTAATACGAAAATATTTTAATCGCATACAATGGAGACCTAAATAATAAATAGCTACGTGTAACCTAATTTGATTTTTCCACACCACTGATTCCTTTTTCCGGAAGAATTCGAATTCATTTCAATCAACATTAATAGTTGTTATTTTTTATCCTTGATATATTAGCCTTAATTAATTAAACATTTGAGTGATAATTTTTGTATTGTAATAATGTCGAATGAATATCATCAAGATACAGATATCGTTTTCGTTTCAAGGTCTACTACTGTCTCGGTTTCGTAGCGATTATGTGTTTCTGGTTCAACATAAAATTTTTTCGTACCCACTAAAAATCAGGGTACTTTTCTCACTCCTTATAACGATTTCATCTTCGACACTTTTCACTTTCCCAATTCTTTGACTACTCTTATCACTTTTAACCACCAACTCAAACAAACTTTATTATCCTTATTACTTTGTGCAACATATCTCTTTTACTTGTCACAAGTTTACCCATTATACGTACATAAACATATACATAAAATTTTTATTCTTTGCACCTATACAAATATTTTTATTTAGAATTTCTATTAACTTCAAAGTTTCTTATTCAAAAAATCTTTCTATAGTCTATAAGACAAAAAATGAACTCGACTCGAAACCTTTTCGAAAACCAAGGTCACCTGGGACCTAATAACAATGAACTATCATGCAATACCTTATCATTTGAACCACAGAAAAATCTAGCCTGTCGTGCCAGATCATCTCAAAGTGCGCAAATATTATCCTATGTCAAAAAATGGGCCGAAAGTGATGATAATTATGACTCATCCCAAAGTTCTATTAACTACTTTTCGTCGAATGAAAAGACTTCGCATCTCCTCGATGATCAGTGCATCATCTCGGAATGCGGAAATATTGCCGGCAAATCAATAAATTCACCTAATTGTAACCTAAATACTACTAAATTCGGCACTGACTCGCACCCTGCAACCGGACGAAAAGGATTACCGATGTTTATTCGAGAAAATGATGACGATAATTCATTATCATCAAACTTTACTTCAAATTTTAGTGAAACATCATTAAATAATCACATTGGTGATTCGAATCTTCGTGATGAAAAATCAAATTCAATTTTACGTGGTTGCTTTTCTAAAATTAATGAAGATGATGATTCAAAAAGATCTATTGATCTACTTGTAAATAAGATTAGTCATGAGAACATTAACAATGGCAATCATGAAAATAATCAAATAACGATCCAACCAAACCCACGGGACGAAATGAGGCAGAGACTCCGTGAAATTCAACAGAGGATGATTGCAAAAGCTCGGTTCAGGTCCAGTTGTTCCATGGAAGGAAAAGGCATTAAGACAATCCCAGCAGAGTGGTGTGAAAGCTTTGAGGGATCAATGTTGTATAGCCATAAACCAAGTCCCGATAAATCAGATAAATCGAGCAACGCAAGAAAATCATCAACAAGATCTCAATCAGGTGTAGTCGGTGGTAAGACAATCTCCAAGATGGAAGAGGTAATATTAGGTAGGTTGTCCGGAAGCACAACTTATTACTGCATATCCCTTAATTTAATTTTTTGCCTATTTAGGTGATCGATGTTTCTTGTGTCCTGGATGTGGCAATGCTTATAAAGCTCAAAGTAACCTGTCATTTCATAAAAGCCGTTGCGAAATGATCAAGGTATTTATTATATATGACTCAATTAAACCTAAATCGATGACTATTAATCTTTCATTGTTCAATATTCCAATATTCCTAGCATTGCTCGGATAAATTCACCAGAAAGAGATTAACGCGCGATGACATGGTAGATTGTTTCTGTGGAACTGATGACGATGGTGGCAATATGGTACAATGTGACCATTGTCGTGGTTGGTTACATTTGGAATGTCTTGGCTTGGGCGGTGAGGATCTGGATGATGAGTACTATTGCCCTCGATGTGTAAGCTCATACGATCCTACTCAACCGGAGGATAAAAAAGGAAAAAAGATAGTGAACTTTGGGAGTAGAAAAGAGCATCAAGATGAAATCAAAGAAGTTATAGAGCTAATAAGAAAGAAAAGGAGAGAAATGCGTTCAGTGATCCGCAAGAATAAAAGGAAGTCAATGGAAGAGGAAGAAAATCCGTATAAACATAAAGAGCCACCGGTGATTCATCCAGGAAATTGGTTGAATAAAATTGAACGAGTCTCGACGAATAAATCGTCATCATTCAAGGAATCTAACTTCTTCAATAAGTATCGCGAATTTTTCATGACGGATAAAGATGATATATCCGAACAAGAAACTCTTAATCAATCAGTTAATAGCAATGATTCACATACGAAAAACAACCGTAATACCGATAAGAAGAAAGCGTTCCATTCATACCATCATAGCATCAATAATTCCTCTTTGATAACGAAAAGCAAAGAATCTGAATTGGAGCATGTTAAATACGATGACGACACGGAATCCGAACAGGATTTCATGAACAATTTTATTTATAAAGCCGAAAATCCTCGAAATTTCAATGCAATAAACGAAGAAGCCGATAATCACTGGGAGGTTCCTCTGCGTCCAATACTGAGATCATGGGTTGATGATGATGATGATGATGATGATGACGATGAAAATGGTAAAGGTAAAAAGTCCGAATTTGAAGAAATAAATGAGCATATCCAAACAAATAATTTTTATGCACCAGTTCTTCATCAACAAGCTTCCTTTAATAGTGAATTAAATTTGGTTCAAGCCGAGAGACATTCACCAGTGACTATATTGCCGCTTAATCAAACAGAAGGCAAAAAGCATAAGAATCAAATGTCTTTGAGAATAGAGACGCCTCCATCCAAGATCAGAAAACTCGACAACAATATTAACAATAATGAAACAACCATCAAAATTGATCCTTGGGTCAATGAAAACCGACTTCTCCACGCTGATAATTTAATGATTCCGATTATTCCCCAAGATTCATCTTCACAATTAATTTGGGATCATCAAGACATATCACCAATTTCTGAGGCCTCATTTAATCTCAATGACATCAATCTATATTCGCCATTGGAATCACCGCCGTCTTTGTTCTTTGGCGATGAGGTATAGAAAAATATTAGGGGTTTCATCTTTATTTCCTTCTAAAAAGTGGCTAATTCTAAACTCGTAATTTAGAATATCACAAGTCCAGAAGGTAGCGCATTCACGGTAACCACCCCGAGAACAACAACTCAGCACCCTGAAATAATGTTTACCCAATATTTCGAATTGGATAATTGTTTCGATGATACCCCAAAGGGTATTACAGAATTAAATAAAAGTTCGGCCAATTCTGATGAGTTGACGACATGGGATACAACTGATGGTATTGTTGTTAATTGTTTATTTTCATGTTTGTGCAATGCATACTGACACAATTTATTCTAATTGTTTAAGGCATAATGGATTTCTTTAGTGTGTAAGACTAAGCCGTGAATTATCTTAAATCTTTTGTAATAATAAAATAATATGATATTTAGTCAAAAATAGCAAATTTCGAAAGGATAAAGATTTGCATAATTTCATCATATCTATTATCAACGTATGGCAAAATAAAAGCTTAAGTATTTTTTTATACTTTGATAAATCGTCCGTAGAAATTTTGACTTGAAAATAATTTCAATGCTGTTGGGTAATGTTTGTAATTTGTTTCGAGGAATTATGGTGGATCAAGTTTAAACTTTGACAATATATGCAATTTGCTCGGAAAAAAATTAAAACGCACAGATTTCTTGTCGAGGAAGCATAGCCAAATCGAATTGTGTGAAGAAAAACGCGCTTATAAGATTGTTTTGAAAAGAAAGGTTAACAATTAGTTTTGGAATAAAAAAAATATTTCTCTAATGAGCTTTAGAGCGAGCTTAATTAATAAAAAATAGCTAAAAAAAGAGCTTAATGTAGAAACAAGAATCTCCGGAATTGGGGTTTGAAAGTAGAATAAGGATAAAAGTAAATTGAGGTGTGGGCTCTTCAGAAAAAAATTTAAAACGGATAACTACTAATTGTTTAAATAAGAGAATGAAGTAAAGGAGTGTAAAAGGACAATGCTTGCCACGCTTTCTTTAGTTGGTCCTTCTATTTTCTAAAGAAAATAAAGAATGCAACGCGATGTGTTGAAGATTTTGTGTTAACTTTTTTCCTATTATTTATTGATTACGCGTGACATCATCAGTAATTTTTTGACAGAAATCACCTGATTTTTGAAAATTGTTTGATCGTTGCTGATTATACTATGACTAAAGAAAAATTAGAAGATGCTGTTGTTTTGTTAGAGTGAGTGAATGGATATCTATCTATCTATCTATATGATTAATTTTATGTATTGTCAATGAGCTCAAAAATGAGAGTATGAAATTGGTTTACAGAACTTCGAGCATCGTTCATTTGATGACCATAAAAGGAGAACGTTTCACATTAAAAACCTGTTTTACGCCTTATTCATACATTGCGGAAAAACAGTATTGATATCCGTTGTACATAAATAGTACATAATAATCAAGGAATAAACGGATTTTTTTTTCCTGATTTGATGATATTTTCGCAATTTTCGTCTTGCTTTAATTGTAAACGAGAAAGCGGCTATTAAGTAAAAATTGTATAAATTCCAATAAATTCAAATAGGAAACACAAAATATGAGTTTCTCATTTGCTCAAATTTTCGTGATATTTGTGTCGTTTGTTTCTTTGGTGTTACTTTTACTCAGTTTCCCGCCGTTAGGTGAACCTCCAAAACAAGCACCTGCAAGATGGACCGGACTTCCTGCTTGGCATCCCCCTATTAAAGGTTTGTATTGTAATTATTGCTTGATAAATAATGTGCTAATAAATTACATTGATTCTCACGATTAATCCCGAAATATACGTAGAGTTTAACCTAGAAAAAGATGAAGCATTCACAATATTCGCTGTGGTAACACTGGGCATCTCCTCGTATTATAGTCTTCGATGGACGTCACCCACTTCCAGTTACTCGCTATCAAAACCGACAACCATTCTCACAAATTCATACTTTTACAAAGGTGGTGCCGCATTTCCAACCACACTTTTTGATCAACTTATCGCCTATTATATATTCGGCACATTTGTTGCCGCGGTTGTAGTCTTAATTTTTGAAGTGGGAAAGATATGGTCGATATTTGGATCATTGCATAATATGTTTGAGATTGCGATTATGCTTGTATTACATGGTGGTGGAAAAGTGAAGAGTAATCTTGGATATTTTGGATCTATGGCCTTTTATGTGGTTTTAACAAATATTTTAAGTGTACTCTTGGATTGGCCATATGATGGAATATGGTTTAAATTTCAAGGTAATAAACTGTTTGCCGTAATTCATTTTTTGATATTGCGACCATGTCACATTATTTATAGTGCTTGCTTGTCGTAATGTAATTCGTTCACCTTAATAATGATATTTATTAAAAAAAAAAAAAAATAGGACTTTGCTCTGACTGGGCACTTGTTATACAATTTACGCGTCTCTATTACGTGACAAAAAAAAATCTCAGAGACAATGCACTTCCAACAACTCTCCCTACTGAAGAACAAGAAGAGATACTTTTACCCTCTTCAGTTGAATTAAATACCGACGAGGATTATCGTTTCTATCCAAATATCGTTGATCACCCACGCCCATTAATTTTATTGATTATTGCATCTTTCATTCATCTTGTTGGGAACCTTGCAAATTCAATCTGGGTTGACGATCGTTATTCGTGAGTATTATTATGTTATATATTGACACACCTCAAATATCACTAATAACCTATTGATATAAATATAATTTTTAAAAAGATGGTACGCATTTGAGTTAAGTTATGCACTCGCATTTTCAATTTTCGGATTTTACCTTTACCTGGACACGCATTGCAACGGGATTGTCACCCCACGAAAAAGAATCTATTTACCGGATGCTTCCGTATTCAAAGTTATACTTGTTACGATGCTTTCGATATTTTTATCATTTGCGTCGATTAGATTCGCACTCTTTGTCACCTTGGAAAGATGAAGTTTATTCATAATTCCAAAGCATAACTAGTTGTATTCTGAAACTAATGAACCTAAAAAATATTTAAACAATAAACAAAAAATTTACATAACGAATTGTAGTTTAAGCTCTTTTTTTGACACACAAGAAAAATCTACGAGAACGAATCATCATGAATTGAGTTTAAGCTTTTCTTTGATGCAAGAAAATAAATACATGTACATGCACATGCGAAGTATGCATACATACTTCATTAAAAATAATTGTACAATGTATTTATTTTTTTATTTTATTAAATATTATATTATTCTACGCATTATCATTAATGATTTCAAGTTGGGTTAGCTCAGAAAAATAACAACCATGTTATGCTCCTAAATTAAATTTAATTTATCACAGTTGTGTTTGTTTTGATGTTAATTAGTTTAATAAAATATAATTGGATTCAAGAATTCCTCAGAGAAACGACAAGCATATTTCAATGATTGAATCTCGGATTGGTGAATATTATTAAAAGGTACAGAGAGAGAAAGAAAATTCTTCCACATTTTAATGTGAAAACTTAAGCTGGATGCCCAAAGTTTTTGTAATGGCTCGCATTCTATTAATAGTTCTCTTTGCTTGCTATTTCCTGAAAATCATGCATTGAATGAACCATTCAGTTTCTCTTGAATATTTTTTAGATACGAGAAAAAATTCATTATATACGAGATACATGTATATCGATATTAAAATTTCGTTAAGTAGTGTTACATTTAGACGTGGTGCAAGTATGGCGTAAATAGCGGAAATCGAGATTGTAAAGCAGTGATACATTTAGGCGTAGTGCAAGTAATTGTAAAAAGTTTAAATCGAGAAACAGTAAACGAGTTTTTAATCAAAAAATTATTTGTCTTACGATGATGGTCTTATTTACCATTACAACAAGTATTGCTTGCGTCTTGTAACCGCGGAATTAAATCTACAGCTTTCAAAAACATCCGCAGAATTAAATTTCTTATATAAATCCAGTCAAGCATTCAAGAGATGAATTTTTATCCACGAAAACCACACACATATTCTTCCCCCAAATCTTTTAATCTCAACCTTTCACTCTTTACCTTTACCCTCCATAAATTCATTCATACACGCACACACAAATTTATCCTACTCATTCTACTATATTATCCCTTCCTATACACAAAATTCGATTTTCTTTTAAACTTTAAAAAATGGTTGAAATTCCACGTCTTCCTTTCTGTTGCTTTGTTGTTCCCCTCCGAATTGGCGCATTCGTTATTGCCGCATTTATGTTCTTCTGGAATGCTTATGCTGGTATTACAACAATGTTGACAACTTATGGCAGTACGTATTATCACATTATCACATTATTTATAAAATATCCATTTCTTATGAGAATTAACAAACATTCTCTTTTTAGGTAATTTAAGCATACTTTGGAAAGTAATGGGAGGCTTATATCTATTAGTCGCAGCTGGTGCTTTCTACGGCGCTCACGCAATTTACCATGAAATTCCAGAAAGAGTTGCCAAATTCGTGAAAATCTATATCGCTAGCATCATCACTTACTTTGTTGTCAGCATCGCATTCGTTATTGCCGTTAGTTTGGCTGTGGCTTCAGTACAAAATAGCGCTGTGAAAGCTTGTGAAGATGCGAAGGCTCAAGCTCCAACTCAAGAGCAGAGTCAAATTAATTGTAACACAGGCTATACCGGTTTTCCGATTGTTGGATGGTTGTTCCAATTTCTGTTTGCTTTGGCTTTCGAGGTGAATTAAACGAAATGATTTTTATTTTTCTCGATTTCTCATTTCTATTAGTTATTAATTTTAATTATCTATTTATATCTCAGATCTACTTTGCGATCTGCATTCGCTCATACAGCTTGGAATTACAAGAAAGCGACGAAAAAAGACCCAACGAAATGATGCATGCATAAAAAGAAGATTCAATTTCTCCAGCCAAAAATGATCTTTTCTCTCTAAAATAACCGATTTATTATGTGTGTGATTTTCTTCTTAAATCTCATCCTCTTGTGATAAATTTTTAATTTGCTTGCAAATCTAAAACTTATCAACTAGTGCACATGCATGTATGATATTACTACTGTATTATTAGATATGATATTGACTTTGGTTTATACTGTATTATTATTAATGTGAATCATATTTATAATTAAATTCTTTTTAATGTTGTAAAAATCAGCATTAATTACAGAATATTCTTAAAACTTGACGGAATTATTTATAACTTATTCGAATCTATGCTCTATTTTATGCAAGACTATGAAAAAAATTGTCAAGTTAATAATTTGAAAAGATCGGTAGCAAATTCCGGAGGAATTATAAAAGCAAAGTGCATAGAAAATTGCTTTCACTAAGACCATTAAAACATTATAGCATATATCGCACTCTTCTTATAAACAATATCATTGAATAATTTACATAGTTTAGTATAAACTTTAAACCTTACATTGAATAAATGTGTCTCGCACATGTCATATCCCGCAATATAAAATTTTCAAATAAACACTCTTAATTAGCAATTTTATTTGGTCGTTTCTTAATGTCACTTACACAGTGCAAGTAAGATTCGAGAGACATATGATATCTGCCGAAACTTTGTTATGATGGCTGCCGCCGGAGATTGCCACCGTTAAAAGCCCTCGTGGAAAACAGTTCTACTCCATTGCAGACGTACGTGGGCATTTGGAGGCAACCAACAAACAAGCTAACAATTCACGCAAAGGAAAGGTCTGCTATGCCAGAGTCAGTTCAGAGCATCAATAGGGACGGCAACGATTCCCAGAGCACCAAATTATTAGTGACATTGCTAAGGACCTACCTGGAAACACAGAGCGTTTATTACCTGTGGAACAAATACATGCTGGATAATCGGGTGTTACCCGAAAGATTGGCTGTGCCGCTTTGTATTCGAACTTGTGGAATGGATCTTTGAAAGAACAGGACACAGCTCATGTTTTCTGTTCAGATGTTATTTCCGACAACAGTGAAGTTGGAGAACTTGCAGAGAGCTTTCTTCAATTATCGCAGTGTTTGAGGCACGAAATAATTGGCCGCATTCTGCTGGCAAGACACAACACGACGCATTCGTCTCAGGAGAATGATAGAAGCTCAGGTTATTTTTAGGAACGGCACGACGGACTTATAATCAATATCTCGCTGCAATAAAAGGCGTCAATAGAAATAAAAAGAAGTTGCGAGTAGAGTGTCTTAATGCAAATTTTGATACAAAATTTCAGTAATTTTAAAACACCATATAATTAATATAAGAGATAAGGCCAATAAGTGAAAGATAGTAAAGGAGTGATATTGTATGGCGCTTTTATGCTTTTAGTTATGTTTATTATTGTTCTGAATATTGTAGGGAATTTAGCTGAAAAACAGCCCAAAAAGAGCTTTAATTAGTAATTATCTTTAACCTGGGAATAGTTGTTTTTAAGGACTTGGTGCCTAGTTTTTTGAATCATTTACTCAAAGCACACTCATCAAATTTCTTTGCAAAATGTAAAGGATTTAACATAAAGTTCCGTTCTAAGAATGATCACTTAAATCTATTCTCTCCGAGCATTGGGGCAAGTCCCGTGGTGGGTTCATTAAATGAAGACAGCTGAATTCCTCATAGAAAAGCTTCAATATGATAGTAGTCTTGTGATGAACAATAACCTTGGTGAATTCTACCTCTGTATTCCTAAATCGCATGAGATGCAAGCCGAGTGCCAAGTCTCTAACAAAAAACATTTGTTTTTTTTTCATTGTAGGTGTAGGATTAGGGTAAACTCCTTGGATCTTAGAATAAGAACTTTTATGACTGGATATGATCCAAGTAAACTAACAGTAGAATGGATATTTCTCGAGGCTATCGCTTATTCTATACACATGACAAACTCCTAGTCATGATACACAAGCGTAAGCACTGCAAGCTTCGTTGCGGATACATAAAATTTTATTGTCCCGTCATCGGAATAGTTGTGAAAATTATCGTATTATACTATATTACCTGAGTTCCGAACAAAAGCACGATCAGCCATGGGCAGTGTCATATTTTGAGAGTGATGTGCACATGATCACACTATCGCTTTCATCAGCATCTTCTGCACAAGAATTTATTACAACAATACAATAAATCCTTTGAACTTGTGGATTTATAAATGATCGATTACTTTTTCTAAACCTTGGGGAAACGTTAAAAAGTCAGGTAATTTAACAGTTACTAAAATTAGTTTTTATATTACGAAATTAATTATTTTGATTGGTTGATCAACAGATGATTTACCTTGTGAGGCGGCTTCATGATATGACGAAATTCAAAATATGTTTAATAAAAAAATGCTTTGCAACAAATATCTGTCGAAAATAAAACCGGTTCCTGATCACATATTAACAAAAAAATAGAATACGCAAATCATATATGTGCCGGCAACCATTAAAGAGTTTTTTCAGAGTTAGGATTAGGGTTAGAGTTAGAGATTATATGTAAATTGTCTTCCTGACATCAGACATTTTTGTTTAGAGCTCAAGTCAGATTTTGACTTCTGTTTTCTGTATTTTTCTCGCATTCTATATTTTTCGTTTTCTTTTTCAAATTTGTTTTACCGGGCTGACTAAAAATTTGCATTCTTATTGGATTGTGTTGTGCATGTGATCACGAACCGAGGCACATCGCTAAACACTTGGCACTAGAAGTATTCACGAACTTTATGCACGTTTCCTTTCACAGATTGGCCATTGTAAAAAATTTGTGTAACAATTTTCCTTATTGGGAGACTGTTTGTAACGCTATAAATAAATGATCGACATATACACGTTGTTTATGATTATTAATGGTTAAAGGGATCAAAACAAATAAAGGAATCACGCGTTTCTCAAATATATAACGGAGGGAAAATTGTATCTATCATAAATTTGAATTCTTTGAATTGAATTCTTTTATCTGGCACTGTCTTCTCCTTCGCACTCCAAGAAGAGGCTCTTTCGGGAATGCCTCTCTCCTTTTCGGAGGAGTAATTTGAGTGACTTCTGTAAAACAAAATTTTTCTATGAAAGATTTATTGTCTTCGGCTTTGGCTTTGGAGTATCATAAGTCTTCCTATAATTAAGAATTTTTTTTGCAGAAGGTTTACTTTGACAAGCAGTGTCTAGTTTTAGTTCATACAGTGATGAACTGTTTAGTTAGCGTTCGACGCTAGTGCAAGCTGTGACTAATAATTAGTCTTGTTAGTTTAATTAGTCTTGTTAGTCCATACAGCGGTGAACTGTTTAGTTAGAGTTCGACACTAGTGCAAGCTGTCTCAAAAAAGTCAAGTGATAAGTGATCTTATCATGTGACTAATAAAACCCTCAAGTTCGTCCTATAACAACAATATTGTAGTGGACGAGTCCAAAGATCTCTGGATGATGAGTGTTCAACTTGTTCAACTACTGACTGGGATCGGTGTTTCGTCCTATAATAACAATATTGTAGTGTGGACTGCTGAAAATTCACAGAAATTTTTGCAGATCCCTCCCCTAACCCTAATAGAAATGTGAGATGTAAATTCGACTCTTGAAATTGTACTACACAAGTCCGATAAATGTTCATTAAATCTTTCAGGCTTTACAATTGATATTTAATCATTAAACGTCATAAATCGTTCAGGGTTGTATATTCCCAAAGATACTGTCGCCTGACTTATTCATATTCAAAGAGAAAGTATGATCTACCATTTAGAGATTTAGGTAATACCATATTCTAGGATGTCTGTATAATCTTAGAGTGTCAATGGCTACCATTTTTAGCATTATTGGAAATTGATGATCTGATTACTGAAAAAAAAAGTCACTAAAAATTATTCGCAAGACATGAACGTCTTTTACATTATTCATAAAGTCCACCAAAAATCAATTGGTGAGAAACTTTCAGCGTGCAAAAAGTTCGGCACTCGTGAGAGAAAAAAGATAAATTGTTTCTATTGATTTTCGCTTATGTGAAAAATAGTAATATATTAATCCAACTATGACAAAAATTCACGGAGAAAAGTTGTTTTTTTAGTCTCTTTGCCGATATTTGAATTATTTAACGTAATCAATACAACACAGAAAATCAATCGCCTTCGCTTGAATAGTGCTGTTCTGTATTGCACCCGCAAGAAAATCTCGTCGACGTGATTCGCAGATTCAATCCATTAGTTAAAACAGTACAATCGGTAGAAAGAGATCTTTGTCGTGTTAGTTATTGTTATATAAGAGCGGATAACGTTTTTCATTATGTAAGATAAACTTCCAAGTCCTTCACATCTCTTAATAGGGAGTGATGAATCATCTTAAAATTTTGTTATTAATAAATCCCAGTATTCCTCAATTTTTTTTTTAGATAAAGTGCTGAAAGATCAAAAGAATCAGATGTCAGAATGCGTCTCTGAAAAAGACTAGGACGACATTTGCCACTCTATTCGACGGGCACTAAATATCCCTTCTTGATTTCACAAACTTATCCAGTACGACCACGATACTCTCTCATCGTCAACCCTCTTGGTAGACAATGAAAAACCCTCGTATATAGACAAAAACCCTTTGAAAATCCAACTCAACAATCAAGTCAAATAAAACGAAGAGATGCTTCTTTTTAAAAAGATTATGCATAACAAAACACTATCTTAAAAAAGAAAGAGGAGCAAGATCCACTTGATGACACTCAGCTGAACTAACCGGATATTTTATCAAACGCCACAACTACCTATCTTACAAGAGCAAAATGCCAAATCAGTCGTCCATACCACGAATGGTAAAGCTATTGGTTGATTAATAACCATTATGAAAAAAACTACCCAAAGAGCACCCAGAAAAATTCTAACCAACACAACAACACCTTGAAAAATTGTGCACACCCGGCTAATGTTTAATTGATACCGAAGGTTGATCTAGGGTCAGGGTGAATGTTAGCATTAGAACTTAACGTTATTTGTCCACTCGTCACATCACGAATCATGCATGTGTGAATTAAAATTTGTAGTTGGACAGAAGGATTAAATTAAAAGAAGAATAAAAGAATATCTCGGAAATAGAAAAGACCCGTCACTGGCTGCCAAGTCTCTTCCTCTTGCTCATAAGTAAAAAAAAGGATGAGATTTTGATTTGATTGTTGATTTTTCATATTTTTTATTAATAAATAACTATCGCTATATATTGTAAAATTACATTTTGACATAAATTAAATCTTCAAGTGAGGCTACAACTATACTTTAAAAGCTTCCTCTTCTAGCTACTAGTTGGTGACAACAATTCCACAATGCTGCTTTCCAATTCGTCCGGCTTGATAAAAATAAATAGTCGAATAAGATAATCACCCATCTAACTCCATTTCAAAGGAAAAAAAAAAAAACAATCAATCATTTGCTCACCTTATTTTGCGTGTATTTTCTCGCGATAATATTTCCATTACGATCCACCAAAAATTTCTCAAAATTCCATTTAATATCACCGTTATCGTTTGGGTTATTTGCCTTTAGATATTTATAGACAGGGTGTGTGTTTTCGCCATTTACATCAATTTTCGAGAATAATGGAAAGTTGACGTTATAATTTAAGCGACAGAATTGTTCGATCTCTGAAATTATACATTAAAAAAATGAAGAATTAGTGTCTAACGCTAAATATTACTGTAACATGATGTGATGATGCTTACCATCCTCGTTACCAGGCTCCTGAGAACCGAACTGATTACACGGGAAACCGAGAACAACCAAACCACCACTATTATATTTTTCATACAGCTGTTCTAAGCCAGCATACTGAGGCGTAGCACCACATTTTGACGCTACATTTACAACTAAAACTACTTTAGATTTTAATTCTGAAAAGTTGAATGGGGCACCGTGAATTGTGTTTGCGGTCAAATCGTAAAATCCCATTTTTCTAGCTAATGAAGAAGAGAGTGTATAATGAAATGAACATGCAGAAAGCACGTCTTTTTATAAACTCATTCAGTTAATTTTGAAATTAGTATTAGTATTGTGTCAAGTTCAAAAAATAATTAATATTGTTTAGATAATGATGAAGATGGAATAATGGTTATACTCATCATCGCTATTGTTTCTTTATTAGGAAAGATAAAATCTTTATTAGCGTTAGTGTAATAATAATACATACAATCAAATACGAAAATAGAATTTGCATTATCATTCTGTAAACGATTGTTCACACGGTTCAGTAAAGATTATGTCTGATACTATAATATTTCGTGGAACAATACTATAGCATATACTGTATAATAAGATAACCGATTTATTACGATAATGAATAATTAAGCCGCAATCATTTGTTTTTCTTTCACGATGGTTTTTACAATACAGAATCTCAGCTGATATATTATGACCCTTTATTAATTTATATACCGTCAACAGTGCGTCCTGACCAAGTGCCTGAACTTCAAGGCCATCTGTCTCAAAACCTTGAGTTCAATTCACTTTCGTTGTCATCCCATATCTCACATGTATTCCCGATCAGTTGTTAGAATCCAAAGATGTCGTTGTTCTACAAAGATGAATTATTATTTGTATACATTGATGATAATAAATGAACAGTATATGCCCTTTCTTTATATTCTACTAATTCTAATTTATAAATTAATTTATTTTTAAATATATTAATTATAGATCTGAACTTTTATTTTTAAATTCTTTAATTAATTAAAGATCCCAATGATAAAAGATATAAAAATTCTATTGCTTGATTGATTTCAAATATTTCTGATTATCCCTTAAACCGGGGTTCGTTAAAGCAAGGCAAGCCGTTTAGCCGGTTTAACCACATATACGCCACATTTGACCGGCGGCACATGATTCACATGATCTTACCATTTGATTGGTAAATTAAAACCCGAACAACAACATGACTATGCGATTTAACAAAATCACGTATTAGCGACTCTTGTTTCAATTTAACAATGTAAAATTTGATTATTAATTCATCACTAAAACGAGTTCTGAATGTAGTCTCTGTAGTCTCCTTATAATTAATTATTACTTAAATTTTATTGTTTGCTTAAAAATTTTACATAAACATAGGAATTTCATTGTATATTAAATATTCTTAAAAGTATGTACAAGCATAAAAATAAAAGAGGGGAAACTAAAATTATTGTTTTTTTTTGTATTATAATAAAATATTTCTTACTAAAGAACAGGTGTCAAAGCCTCTTCTAAATTTTCAATGAATCTCATCACTTCTTCTATATTATCCTGATCTGCTAAATAATAATATTGATCTCTTGCCTTTTCAAATAATTTATTCATTATTAAACAATTTTTTTCTATAGCCATCTCCATTTCTATTGAGGTTGAAGTATTTTCACTAAACCACAAGACTAGTATATTTTCAAGTCACTTTTCTCAAAAGTTTCTTGAAAATTTCTTCATGCTTCTAATATTAAAATATTAATATCACTATAGAGTTAAACATGTATATATCTCTTCTGTGATAAGTTTCTGAATTGAAAAGAGGAATTTGTAAATCTTGGCAAGAACTGCTAGATCTATATTAGTAATAGATATTATTTTTGTGTAAAAATTGATGGTAACTTCTTTTACTGTTATTTTCTTTTTTTCATCAAGTTTCAAGATTATATAGTATATATTTATAAATAAATAAAAATGATAAAAAAGTGAAAATAAATTAAAATAAAAAAAATAATAAATAAGAAGAGATGAGAGTAAAGATGGCTTCTCAACTGTTGTAACATAATGACAAATAAAGCATTACCTAGTTGCAACTAGTTGTGACTTATAAAATTTTGAAGTTGCAACATGTTGCAACAGGTGATAAATAAGCATCACATACTTGCTGTGCCATCTTTAGATGAGAAAAGATTGAAGAAAGTAAAAAAAAAGAAATGAGAAAAAAGAAAAGAAAGAAGAAAAGAAATAAGTAAAAAAAAAGAGAAATAATAAGAAATCAAAGAAATAAAAAAGAAGCAAAGAAGAGAAATAAAAAAGGAGAATTAAAGAAAAAAAAAAGAAAAATAATAAGAAGAAAAAAGAGTGAATAAAAAATAAGAGAAAGAGAAGAGAAAATAAAAAATAAATAATGAGAAAAAAAATTAAAAAAAAATAAAAAAATGATAAAAAGAAAAATAAAAGAAAAGAATTGAAGAAAAAAAAATTAAAATGATAAGAAAAAAGAATAAATAAGAGAAAGAAAAAAGAAAATAAATAATAAATAATAAGAAGAAAAAACAAAAAAAAAGAAACAAAAAATTAATTTATTAATAATGTCATGTATAATAGAAGTTCTTATTTTGAATTTACTATAATAAAACTTAAGAGAATTTATTAAAGTTACTTAAAGGAGAAAAGATAAATACTATCATATTTAAAATATTTACTTTTTTGAATTCTTAAAGTAATTTCATGAAATATACTTGGTATTAGCTTGCAAAAAATATGTAATTATCATATTCTAAACAAGTATTTTACAATTAATTTGAGTTTTTTTATATATTATTTGAATTATTTTATTAAAAATTAATTTATAATAGATATTTTTAATTTATATTTAAATAATATAAACTATATATAGGAGAATATCATATTCTTGCTCTTTTATATAGAGATCAAAAAAGATAATTATAATTCTATTAGCTTTCATACTACTTTGATCAAGTAATATATATCTTAATTTTTATTAAGAAATAAATTTTCAGATTATTTTTAATCCTGTCATAATTATTATATTATTCTTATTACTAGTAAAAAATATATATTTATATATTATTATCTTTTTGGTATGAGTTTTGATATGAGAATAAGTATTTAACCTAATATTATAAAAGTACGTGATAAAAGTAATCACGTACTTAAAAGCAATATTTAGAAGAGTCTTTAAAGAATTTATTAATAAGAATATGAATATTATTATTTCAAAATTATTCTAAAGGTAGATAATGATAGTGTTCTTGTTGTGACTAGCTAGAATATAGTCTAATTCTAATATGTAATTTCAAGATAGATATAATATTCAGTTTATTAATAAGATGAATTAATAAATCTTAATCAAAATCTATTCTATAAGAGAAATTTCTTAGAATTCTCTTAAAATTATAATCTACTAAAATACAAGTTGAGAACTAAACTCATAGAACTCAAACTAAACTAGATAACTAAAATATTTAACTGACTAATTATCTGACTGCCTATCTAAATTCACTAGCTAAGATATATCACTTTTATATATTTTAGAGGTTATATAAATGATACTTTTGTTATGATACTTATACTAATTTTGTTATGATCTAAATATTACTTTAGTTAATATCATAATGTTAGTTTTATTATGATAGTTTTGCTAACTTTACTATGATAATTTTGTCATAATCATTGTGTTTATGAAATCTTCTAAAAATATCTACAAATAATATTTTTTAAAGCTAATATCTAATAAGATATAAAGAATTATTCATCCAATCATATTGTAATATGAAGTGACCAATAATATAATTAACTAATATTTTACTAAAAGTTCATATCATAACAATATTAATAATTATAATTATTCTGAATATAAATTATGAACAAGTATCAATTATACTTATTAGTATTATAAGTAAAATCAATTAATAATAACTATTTATAATATATTAAATTCTTTAATTATATAAAACTTATAAAATATAATTCTTAATATAATATTTAAATAAAAAAAACTTAATATAATTTTTTTTAAATTAAAAACTTATATACTGTTGTGATATGAACTTTTAGTAGAGATTAGTTAATTATATTTTATTGATTGCTTCATATTACAATATGATTAGATGAATAATTCTTTATATCTTATTGGACATTAGCTTTAGAGACTATTATTTGTAGATATTTTTAGAAGGTTTTGCAAACACAATGATCATGGCAAAATTATCATAGCAAAGTTAACAAAACTATTATAGCAAAACTAACAATGCTATCATAATAAAATTAACATTATGATACTAGCTAAAGTAGCATTTAGATCATAGCAAAACTAATATAAGTATCATAACAAAAGTATTATTCATATAACCTCTAAAATATATAAAAGTGATATATCTTAGCTAGTGAATTTAGACAGTTAGTTAGACAGTTAAGTAGTCAAATAATTAGTTATTTAGTTTAATTTGAGTTCTATAAGTTTAGTTCTCAACTTGCACTTTAGTAGATTATAGTTTTAAGAGAATTCTAAAGAATCTCTCTTGTAGAATAGATCTTAATTAAGATCTATTAATTCATCTTGTTAATAAACTGATCATTACATCTGTCTTGAAATTATATTTTGAAATTAGACTATATTCTAGCTAGTTACAACAAGAATATTATCATTACCTACCTTTAGATTAACTTTGAAATAATAATAGATATATTCTTATTAATAAATCTTTTAAAGACTCTCCCAAACATCGCTTTAAGCATATAGTCACTTTTATCACGTGCTTTTGTAATATTAGATTTAATACTCACCCCTTCTCAGAACTCACATCAAAAAGATAACAACTTTTTAATACTCCCTCTGTAAAAAAACAATTCTATAGAGTTACCAAATTCAGGCCAGATCTAGAGAAAGAATTCTCTGTAAATTAAAATCACAATTAGTAGAGAATTAAAAATAATTGAAGAAATAATTTTGCAACTTACCCAAAGTGGATCTAATCAAAGAAACTAAAGTAAAAAGAGAAAGACTCTTCGCTCAACTGTTTACTGAATTATCTTTTAAAGATTATACTGAATCAGATCACTAGGCTATCTGTGATAAATTCTATCACTTTTATCAAGAAGTAATATATGGTGAAATTCAAATCAAAACAAGAGAAGAATTTGCAACTTTAATAGAAGAAGAACTTGATCTATCAACAAAACAAATACAGATATATCTTTATAGACTACAA